TGAGGGGTTTAACTTATAAGCAATTACTAACTTGCAGCACCTCCTCAAAAGCACAAATTGGAATCACATCCTTTCAAAAGCTAGTGTCAAATGCAACTTGAATTTGCTTTCTGAAGGTATGACCATAAGTGAACTAAAGCTACAATGCTTAAAAATAGATATAATAAATCTTTCACCAACACCTTACAACGTCCTTACTCTGTGGTATGAATGTCAAATGCTACAGGTGAACAGATTCTTCCAACTCTTGGAACTAACATCCAATGTAACACTTGTTTATAGCTGCATTGTATCGAGCAGTAAAATCTGCTTTTTAAAACAAAGCAAGTTAATACTGATCTTAGAAAGAAGTTTCCTTTTACATGTTCCAAATAAAATTCTAAATCACCATTCATACAAAAATTTTGTATCAGCTAAACTGGGAAACCACTAAACTCAAAGACTTAAATTTTTTAAAATGCGCTATATCTGGTGTACTTTGAAAAATCAATGCCTTTCAAAAAACTCAGCATGTGTATGAATTGGGTCTGCTGAATTCTATATTCTGTGTGATTTAGTGGAAAATATACCAGACTCCACTGCAGGCCAATCTGTGAGCTCAAATTTTTTACAATGCAGATTGAAGACCAAATGCAGAATGGGTAAAAAGAGGAGGAAAAGGACAAAGAGGAAGAAAGCTTAACCATAAATCTACACAACAGCTCAGCTTTGGGTTTACCCCTGTCTGACCTGCATGGCAATGTTTAGTTTTCATTTTAGGAGATTTCAAACAGGATAACAATTTAATGGGGAAAATGTTTTACTCCATGAATCTCATGATTAAGACCAAATTATAGACAGGTACCAAGCACTGGTTAACTAATCATTTTGTTAAAATATTAATTCAAATATGACATAACATTTGCAAAGCATAGCCTATATCTGATGTTGTGAAGCTGGTAAATTTTCAGATGAGAAAATTCGATGCCTTTGCACACAGACAGGAATACAAACCCAGGAAAGGCAAGGGAGCGTGTTTGTATGACTAAGAATTTGCAGTTTCACTTCACACCCAGCCTCCAGTTGCTTACCATTATTGTTGCTCAAACTCGTCAGTCCTCCACTACAGTCCTCATCTCCAAAGTCTAAAGGCTGCAGATTTGAAAAGATAACAGACAACTGGTTTGCTCACACACTGTCCGTGACAAACAAATGATCCCTCAAATTATTCCTAACTTAACTGCTGACCAGCCAACTTTCCCTCCAAGTCACTACGTCAGCCAGTGTTGTTAACTATTCTCTTCAGCTGGCTTTTTTTCAAAGCACTCTCCTCAAATTGTCAACCTACCATGCCACTGTTCTTGTAAACTATTGTCCCACTTCCTGCCTTACCTCAAAGTCCTTGAATACATGCTGTTACAACACTATTAAATGCTTCTTTTTCCTGAAACGCAATGTTTGAATGCTTCCAAATCAGGCGCACACCATTGCCACAGTACACAAAAATACAAACAATACAAAAGTTACCAAATCACAAATGATTTCCAATGACTATCAATGGTATACTATTGTTCCTTGTCATTCTCTACTTCTCTGCAATCAGTGACAAATGATCACACCAAAATGACCCCCTCTCCATTTAGTCAGGAGACATTTCATGGATGATTGCACAATGTTCAGCACCATTCATGATTCCTCAAAACTGAAGCAGCCTGTATACATAATCAGCAAAACCTAGACAACACAGGCTTGGGCCTATAAGTGGCAAGTTGTGCCAAGCATTGCCCATCTCCGAGAGAATCTAACCACCTCCGAAATTCAGTAGCATTAATATTGCTGAAGAATTCTCTACTAATATTATGGGGCCACCATTAACTAGAAACGGAACTGGACCAACCATATAAATACTGCAGCTACAACAGCAGGTCAGAGGTTAGGAATTCTGTGACATGCACCTCAGTACCTGGCCACCACCTACAACTAAGCCGGGGAGTGACAGAATATTGTCCGCTTGTTTGAAGAGGTTACAGCTCTTACAACATTCAAGAAACTTGATGCCATCTAGTATAAAGCAGTCCACTTAATTAGCACCCCACCCACCCTTAACATTCACTTTCTTCAACACTGGACAGTGGTACCTACAAGACGCAGTGCAAAATTCACCAAGACTCCTTCAACAGAACATTCCTCTATCTCCTAGAAAGAAGAGGGCAATGCACTTCAGTAGGTCTGGAGTCACATGTAAGCCAGGTAAGAAAGTCAAAAGTGAATCAGATGGTTTCACAGCAACAGAGGTTATATGTTTACAGCTTTTAATTCCAGATTTTGTGTTTTCAAATTTTATCTGTTGCTACAGCGGGACTTGAACCCATACCCCAGAGCATTAGCCAGGCCTAAATTCTAGTCGACTGACAATACCACACATCGCTGCCTCCCATTAAAACTATATCATCCTTTCACTGACACTGGCTCAAAATCCTGGAACTCCCTAAAACACTGTGGGTGTCCCTAGATATCAAGGGCTGCAGTGATTTAAGGCTGTTCATCACCATCTTCTCAAGGTGAATAAATGCTGCTTTAGACAACAATGCCCACATTTTATTTTTAAAAATTTGGCCAGGCAAATGCAATTAGTTTATGATCCAAGTTTATATGGTCAATATTAGACCACACTACACTTCTCGGTAGAATGTGAACAGCAGTGAACACTGCTCTCAAAACCAAATAGTGTATCACTCATTTTACCAGAAGGCAATGAGAACATCAGTTGCACTGAGTCTTGGTAACGTTTACTCCTTAAATTTCAGATTCAAAAGGAGGACATGGTCAGAAATCAAGAGTACAAAGAGAACAGATCACCAATAGTCTGATTTAGTCCAAAGCCAGTTCCTTTTTGTTGAAATCATTTAATTAATACAACTGAAATTTTCAGCTAAGGTTGTTGAACAATAAGTTATGACAGCTTCTGCTCATAATACCTTAATTTCAAGAACTAAGAGAGGATCTGAAAGTAACGAAAGAATTCCCCTACCTGCACAGCTGCATCATGGGTGCCACCACTAACCAGGAAGTATAAATACAAAAAGAAAACACAAATGAAGTGCTGAGATGCATGAAGAGTAGAGTTCTGATTTAGGTACTGGAAATGCAAATGTCACAACTATAAAGACGCTAATGTAGTCTGATTACTGGAGGCGAGGAATAAGTTGCTAACTTATAACAGGAGATTCAGCGTTCTGAAGAGGAGTCATTTCAGACTCAACAAATTAACTGCTTCGTTCTACTGCTAGATCTGTTGATTTCCTCAAACTATTTTTTTTCAGATTTCCAGTACCTTTAGTATTTTGCATTTATCAGAAAATTCTATGCAATTTCCATTGCAAACAAAAACAATGATTTACATACCCGTTGAAAGAAAAGCCCGAGATAACTACCTGCACTTTTAAAGCATCTTTGACATAAAATAGCCCAAGGGCACTTCACAGAACCACTATGAAAATGACACTGCACCATAAAAGGATTTATTGGGTCAAAGTCTGTTCAAAGAGGTAAGGCGCATCTTAGAAGAGGAAAAGATAGAAACCAAAATCCAGAATTTACTTACTAGACAGCTAAAAGGTACAACCACCAGCAGAACAATAGAACAACAAAAACTGGATGTTCAAATAGCCAGAATGAAATCAATACAAGTTCGTCAAGGAATGTGGTGCTAGAGGAAATTACACAGACAGGGCAGGGAGGAGACAGAGGGCTTTGAAAACAAGGATGAGAAGTTTAATGCCAAGATATTGGTAAATCAGGTTCCAACATTTGTTACTGACCAAAGAGGTGATAAGATCAATAAAATTTGGTTCAAGTTAAACATGCGCAGAATTCTGGATAACCGCAAGCTTAGAGTACATAATGTAGGAGATTAGTCATAAGCATGCTGAATTAGTTAAACAGTTAGAACAAATATAAGAAATAAGGATTTCAGTAACAGACAAGCTGAGACAGGGGCTGATTCAAGTAACATTATGGAGGTGGAAATAAGTAGACATGACATGGTCAGAAGTTCATCTCAGGGCCAAACATGACATGAAGGTTCTGTACACTGATTTCATCTCAGACTGTTGCTGGGAAATGAATAGTGTCAGTGAACAGGAAACCCAGTTCGGAGAATGTATCAAAAACAATGGCTTAGTTTTCCCAATACTGTAATGGAAGATATTCCCGTTCATCTAGCACCACAGATCACCTAAATATAGGAGTTGTGACATCACGTTGAGTTGTACATGTGGTTGGTGAGGCCACTTTCAGAGTACTACGTACAGTTCTGGTCACCCAGCTCTATGTAGGATATTATTAAATTGGAGAAAGTATAGAAAAGATTTACAAGGATGTTACTGCGACTGGAGGATTTGAGTTAGGGAGAGGCTGGGACTCTTCTCCCATGGAGCTTAGGGAGGTAGAGGGGTGACCTTAGAGATATTTATAAAATCATGAGGGGCACAGGTAAGGTAAATAGCAAAAAGGTCTTTTCTCTAGAATAGGGGAATTCAAAACCAGAGGGCATAATTTTAAGGAGAGAGGAGCAAGATTTAAAAAAACATGGGGGTAACGTTTTTGTTTAGAGAGTGGCTCCTACATGCAATAAACTGCCATAGAAAGTGATAGATGGAGGTACAGTTACAACATATAAAAGACATTTGGAAAGGTAAATAAATAGGAAAGGTTTAATAAGGATATGGGCCAAATGCAGGCAAATTGGACTAATTTAGTTTGGGAAACTTAGTCAGCATGGACAAGTTGGATCAAAGGGTCTGTTTCCACACTGTATGACTATGACTAAGTCTGATATTCTAGCAACGGTGTTGCTGGAAAAGATGGTGGTGAGATAGAGCTGGGTGACACGAATATGGGAAAATATCACTTTTGTTTTTGCTACCAAAGCAACACAATAACAAAAAAAAACAAAAAGAACTGTGGATGCTGTAAATCAGAAACAAAAATAGAAATTGCTGGAAAAGCTCAGCAGGTCTGGTGGTTTCTGTGGAGAGAAATCAGAGTTAACATTTTGGGTCAAGTGACCCTTCCTCAGAACTAATGGTAGCTAGGAAAATGTTGGTTTATATGCAGAAGATAATGTGGGGACAGGGTGTAAGGAGTAAACGAAAGGTGGGGATAGAGCCCAAAGAGAGAGAGAGAGAAGAGCAGTTGGGCAGACAAAGGAGTGGATAATGATCCGGCTAGAAGAATGAATAGCTATTAATGGGGACTGTTAGTAGCTAACAATGGATGATGTGTAATAACGTACTGTGTGACAAGGCAGCTCGGTTGTGGGGACTGGGGTAAGGACACGAGACTGCTCAAGCTCGAAAATCATTGAGCTTGATATCAAGTCCAGAAGGCTGCAGGGTGCCCAGGCGGAAATGAGATGCTGTTCTTCCAGCTTGTGCGGAGCTTCGTTGGAGCACTGCAACAAGCCTGAGACAGATGTCAGCCAAGGAACAGAGTGGTGTGTTGAAGTGGCAGGCAACTGGAAGTTCAGGATTTTTTTTGCAAACAGAATGCAAGTCTTCTGTGAAGCAGTCATCCAATCTGTGCTTTGTTTCCCCAATGTAGAGCAGACCACGTTGTGAGCAGCAAATGCAGTAGACTAGATTGTGGGAAGTGTAGGTTTACCTGGAAGGTGTGTTTGGGCCCTTGGATATTGAGGAGGGAGGAAGCAAATGAACTGGGTGTTACACCTTCTGCGGTTGCAATGGAAGATGCCTTGAGGCTGCGGGGGGTGCTGGGAGTGAAGGAAGAGTGGACCAAGGTGCCCTGCAAAAGACTGACAAGGAGGGGAGGGGAAGGGACTGTGTGTGTTGGTGGCATCTCGCTGAAAATGTCAGAAATGGCAGCTAATGATCCTCTGGATATAGATGCTGGTGGAATGGTAGATAAGTTCTATTGTGGGAGGGAAGAGTGGGAGGACTGAAGTCCAGGAGATGGGTCACATGTGGCTGAAGGTCCTGTCAACAACAGTGCTGGGGAATCCTCAGTTGAGGAAGAAGGTGGACATTAGGGAGGCTCCCTTGTCAAAGCTGGCATCATCTGAACAAAAGCAACAGAGAAACTGTGAGAATGGAAAAGAGTCTTTACAGGAAACAGGGTGTCAGGATATATAGTTCAGGTAACTGTGGGAGTTGGTGAGTTTGTAGTGGATATTGGTGGCCAATCTATCCCCAGAAGTGGAAACAGAGGTGCCAAGAAAGGGAAGGGAGGTGTCAGAGATGGACCAGGTGAAGGAGAGAAAGGGAGGCAGCACCGATGATATCAAAATGTCAGAGAGAGAACTGTGGGTGGGAGCTGGGATAGGACTGGAAGGAATGTTCCATACACCACAAAGAGACAGGCATAACTGGGACCCGTGGCCAATCCTCTGACCTGAAGAAAATGAGGAGTTAACAGAGAAAGTTGTTCAGGGTGAGGATAAGCTCGACCAAGTGGAGGAGGTTGGTGGTGGATGGAGATGGTTCAGGAAGAAGCGGAGAGACCCAAGACCATCCTAGTGGGGGATGGATGTGTAAAGGGATTGCATGTCCACGGTAAAGAGACGGTGGCTGGAGCCTGCAAATTGGAAATTCTGAAACTGGCATAAAGCATCCGAGGAATTGAGGATGTAAGTGGGCAGGGACTGGATCAAGGGAGAAAAGTCTGAGTCAAGGTGGGAAGAGAACAGTTCTATGGGACAGAAGCAGGCAGAAACAATGGGTCTGACCAGGCAGTCCTGTTTGTGAATTGTAGGACAGGGGGTAGAAGCGAGCTGTAGGGAGTTGGGGGACTATCAGCTTGGAGGCAGCGAGGGTGGAGGGGATGCAGGATGAAATGAGATTGGTGGCCATGGTTGACACAATGACCTGATGTTCCATTGTGAAGCCATACTCCAGAAAGAGATAGGAGGTATCAGAGAGCTGGCGCTCAGTCTCTGCAAATTGAAGTCAGTCCATCAGACTACAATAGCACCACCCTTGTCGGCAACACAACAAACACTGAACCCAGGATAGAATGTGAATTCAAAGTGGTAAGAAGACAGATTTTTTTTCCTGAAAACTGTCAAAAGCTTTTGTTCTTTCAAAATGAAAAAAAACAGGAAACTTAAAAAGGTTCTAGAAGACCAAAATCCAAGAATAACTAAACAAAACACTGCATTGCTGTAAAAAAAGTGACCAAAACATTTAGTACATGCGAACTAAGTGAAAAGGATGAACTTCATGAGTAATCCAGAGACATATGCAGAAATGACCAACGTATGGTATAAACCTTTATAATTTGTTATCTACCATCTGTTACACCAACATTTAGCAGTTATTTCAGGGAAATATGTAGTGGTTCTATGCGGACATGAATAAAATTGCAATAAGCAGGTGCTTTTGCAATAAAAGGAAGTTACATGCATGTCAAGGCTTGAAAATGATGTATTCTGATTACTTGATGTAAAAATTAGACAACACTGGACTGAGCACATTTACTTGTTAAAATGTGAATGTAATTTTTCTTTAAAACCAACAGCAATACAACTGATCATTTAAGATTATGAAATCAATTGAAAGAAATTCACAATTACATAATATATTAACAAATAGCATTTTTTGCAGCAGAGCTTCCATAATGCAAATGAATAGGAAAAGAATGGATGTAGCTATGCAATGTTAATGAACACATGGCATGATAGGTGCCAATATGAGGCTAGCTAACGTGCAGCTGGTTACCGCATATCGAATCCTCATGACATCAGGTCAAACATGGGCTACAAAATCTTCATGATTAGCACCTCCCACCCTGCCTCAGTTAAAATAAGAGAGTCTGTACTCCTCCATGTTGAACAGCACTTGGAAGAAACAGCAAGGACACAAATGTACTTAAGGTGGCATGTGCTACTACCACTAACCTAGTCCATACACTAGGTCAATGGCAAGTGGTGAAAACTAACAGGGAAAAGAAACTTATAAATTTATTCTCTCCAACCTACCTGTTACAGATACAGGTCAATGAAAGAATAAATAAGATTCATCACCACACAATCCTTGTGAAGATGAAGTTCTTTCTTCACACAAGATTTCTTCATTGTGCTATATCAGGAAGGTTCAGGACAGATCCAGCAACTCAAAACTGTGAATCCATGAGGTATGAGAAAGCAGAATTGAATTCCACCATTACATGTCACCTCATAGTCCAGTACACTTTCAGAATAGTCTCAAATCAGGAGACCAACCTTGGGTCATGAGCCAAGAGGAGCATACCTCAGGCACAGTAAAAAGTAAGGTGCCAACCTGGTAAGGCTACACACATGCTAAACAGTGCAAGCAGTGTACCACAGAACTAAGCAAACTCACAAACAATGGATCAGATCAGGACTTTGCAGTAATGCTACATACAGTTGGGAACAATGGTGGACAATTATCAACTAAAGAGAGACCTAGGCTTTCTTGATTTTCAATGATGGAGAAGTACTTAATTTGAACACAAAAATTTAAGGCTGAATTGTTTGCGACCATCACCTAAGTGCCAAGTGGATAATTTCTCTCCATTCCTCCCGAGGTCTCCACTAGACTCCAGCCTTCAGGGAATGAATTCATTACATGTTTAAAAGCAGTTGAATACACTGGTTACAGTTAAGTTTACATACCCTAACAACATCCGAGCTGTAGTACTAAATATCTATTGTCCCGTATTAGCCAAGCCTTCAGTCAAGCTGAACTAATACACCTACAAAACATATCTATCCAACAATGTTGAAAATTAGCCAGGTATAGCCACATCTGCAAAGCAAAAAAAAGCTCATAGGTATATTTTGTAAATAAAGCTCAAAATTCAACTGGAACAATACTTCCTCTCCAATAAGTCTACTCTCAAAGTAATGACAGGAATTGACAACAATCTGTCGAGCAGTACTTACACAGCAATAACATACTAATGCTCGTCTACATTCTGCCAAAACCAATTAAACAGTCCTTAACTTCTTGTCTATACTGGAGAAAGATATTAGATTCAAAGTTCCAACACCACTATACCATCGCAGTGTTTATAATCTACAAGATGCACTGCAGCAATTTACCCAAGATCCTTGGTTATCACCTCACAAGATCCATGACCTTGTATTTTCCAGAAGGAAAAGGACAGTAGGCACACAAGAAAGCCACACTATCCAAACCTGAATATTTGCAACTGCTCTGCATCATTAGGTGAAAATCCTAAAATGCCATAACAGCATTATGGGAGTGTCTTCACCACATGGAATGCTGCAGTTCAAGGCAGTAGCTCACTAGCACCTTCTCAACTGTAATTAGGGCTGAGGCAATAAATAGTCAGTGACATCCACATTACATGAACAAACAAAAGCAGCAAATTTGGCAATTTAACATTTCCATTGCAACACAACAATTTGCAATGCAAATCTAACTGTGGTTCTTACAGCAAAAGGTGCAATGCATCTTGTGCAGGCAGTCAAGGCACTTCCAAAGATTGTTTTGAAACTCTCTGGAAAACTGACATCACAAGTCACAAGACAAATAATATGCATCACCTTTGCAAATGGAAGAATAGATGAAAGCAGAACTATACGTGTCAGCTGCCAGACTGAGTGAGACACAAACTGATTTGGAGTTCGCTAATGGCAAGCCTCCCTCAACTCAATTAGTTAACTCCAGGACACTTCCTCAAAATAGTTGGGCTGTATAAAACAAATAATTGCCCCCAAATGTTGAGGTGAATTAGGAAAGCAAAGGGGGGGGGGGGGGGGAAGATATTCTACAGCTACATAATTCGACCTGACTGAAAATGCTCAGAGGTGTGCAGTAAACTAAAGTGCCAAGTGAAAGAGGTAAAAACCTGAGCAAGTTCAGTTCCCTCCCCTCCATCTTAAAGAGATTACATCATTGGTTTCAAGCGGCTCTGTGCACTGGGGCAGCCTTCAGTCAGTGATGAGGGTGCAGGCAGTTTACCTGCGCGTCAATGACGAAGATCAGAGCCCCGGTGCCCCTGAAGATCATCTCATAGTCGAAGGTGGGGTCGAAGAAGTCCACCTGGCCGGGAAAATCCCAGATCTGGAAGTTGACGAAGGAGCTGTTGGAGATGTCGTCCTTGTAGATCTTGTTGGTGCTCTCCAAGAAGAGTGTCTCGTTGGGGGACATCTTGTGAAAGACCACCTTCTGGATGGAGGATTTGCCGCTGCGCCTGAGGCCCATCAGCAAGATGCGGGGTTTACTGTCCGACTGCGACTCGCTGCCTTCCATGTCGGACTCTTCCACCCCATAGCCGAAGTCTTTGGGGAAAGAGTCCACCACCCCGTAGCTGCCGGCCAGCGGCTCGTCATTGCTGTACTGGATGGACATATCACGGCTGGGTGGGCGAGCAAAGGGGAAAGAAAGGTAGCCACCCAGAGCCCACCGCCGGACCCGCTCTCAACACCGCTCGAGTTCAGCCTCCCACACCGTGCAACCAAGCTCACCTCACCTTACGTCCCGTCTCCAACCCCCACGGCGCTGCGTCCCCGCTCATTGGCTGATCCTCCCCAGCGTGCGACCGCCCACCCACACCTCCCGCGCCTCTGTTGGTTAGTCCGTGTGTCCATCAGCACTGGCTCGCAAGCAGGTTTGGTTGAGAACGTCATGTGTTAATATCACCTGACTGGCGCTGGCGACCTTTGACCCCTGTCTCCTCCTCCTGAGGCAGGAAATAGGCAGCAGAGGGAGGATCAGGTAGAGGTGGGAAAGCCTAGAGGGAAGAGGGGTTTAGGGTGATTGATGGCAGGGAGTACTGCTGCTTCTGGGAAAGGTGTCCTTATAAATGCGGTTGAATTTCTGATTTTTCAACAGGTGGATTTCAGTCAGGGTGACCACACAACAATCTCCATCATGTGGTTGGTAGAAAGCTTTTGTTAATGAGATGTCAGATTTTCGTGTACCACAATCTGTGGAATTTTAACTAAATCCATGCAGTAACTGCCTGTGATTTGATTGTGAGGGACTGCTGAATGCCATGATACCTCTTTTTTAAAATTTATTTCTCATGGTATCTGGGCATCACTGGCTAAGCCTCCTTTTATTGCCCATCCTTAATTGCCTTGGAGAAGGCAGTGATTGCATGGAATTAATGAACAAAGCAGACCATTTTACCTGGCCAATCTGTATCAACTGTCTGCAACAATTTAGCGTGTCCACCTTTTTTTTCCTTCAGATCCCTTTTTCTTTTGGAAGCCTCTATTAAATCTGCATTCGCCATCCTTTCAGGCAGGACGTTCCAGATTGCAATTGCTTGCTCATTGCCTTTGATTCTTTGCCAATCCCTTTAAATTGGTGTTCTCTGGTTCTTAGCATATCTGCCAATGAAACATTTCCTCTGTTTAGACTCTTTCCAGACCCCTCATGATTTTTAACACCTATACCATTTCTCTTCTCAGCATTATTTAAGGAAAACAATTGCAAATGTTTTGTAACGGGCACTGAGCATGAGTTTGAACAGAGTGCTGATTGTTGGATGATTAAGGGAATTGGGATAGAGATGCTGTTTTGTTCTTTCTAACTTTTTCATCCTGTCATAAATTTGTTTCTTACTCTACAAGGTTTGATGAGTATCTAACAAGTGGTTGAGGTCCATTCTAATCCTAATATTTAAAATAATTGTTAATATTGTAATCATAAAACCAGTTTTAAGGTAAGGTTAATGAAATACATCCACAAGCATCCACTCCGTCCACCACCGATACTCAGTAATAGCAATGTATATTATCTACAAGATGCACTGCAGAAATTCGCAAAGATCCTCAGACAGCAATCCATCTAGAAGGACAAGGGCAGCAGATATATGGGAACACCAATGCCTTCAAGTTCGCTCCAAGCCACTCATCATCCTGACTTGGAAATATATCACTTTTCCTTCAGTGTCACTGCCCTAATGGCATTGTGGATCAACCCACAGCAGGTGGACTGCAACAGTTCAAGAAGTCAGCTCATCGTCATTTTCTCAAGGGCAACTCAGGATGGGCACTAAATGCTGGCTAACCAGCAACGCCCACATCCCACAAATGAGTAAAAACAATAAAATAAGATACATAAAAATAAAGCAAATAATTTAATCATATCAGTAATTAAACATATTGGGGATGTCAGGATAGGCAGTGTGTCATGGCTGCACATAATGTAGAAGTGCTGGATGCCATTGTGATCCCAGGTAAATAAATCTTCAGTAAGTGCAGCTCGAGCAAATTCAACTCTGTGTGTAATGACCTAGGTGTCAAACTACAAACACTGTGACACATCAGGGAGGGGTAAGTTACCTGGTCACTTTTTTTCCATGATGTGATCACACCATTTAGGATAGGATTATCTGATTTGGCCACTGGTCAGAAAATGGAAGGTGTGACTGTGAGTGAGGCAGATAAGGGAATTCCAGAGTGGTGTTCAGTCGCTTCAGCTTTTGCAATTGCCCACCAGATTTGATGCTTTTCCAGCTTATCTGCATGAGCTCACTGACCGTAGCACTGTAGCACAGGAAACCATTCAAGTGGAATGAGCAAAATGCAATGTAGCAGGAGTATGGGACAGGATTGACATTTGTTCTCTGTAGCAAAGTGTGAGAGCCTATAAGGCTGTGTTGCTTGCCTGGTGCCAGAGTTTGGGACATCTGCTTAGGGCTAACGATGGACTTGCAGTGGAAGGTGAACGATCCATCACGGTCCATGTAGATGCCAGCAACATAGGTTGGAAAGAGAAATACATAGTCATTTGAGGTGCTACGCCAAATTAAGAAGCAGAACCTCAAAGATCATAATATCTGGATTATAACCTGTGCCACAGGCAATTTGGCATTGGCAAGTAACAGTAGAGAAATGAATGCTTAGCTCAAAGAGTGGTGAGGTACAAGTCAGTTCTGGTCCATAGGGCACTGGCAACAGTACTGGACAAAGTAAGGGCTGGACCATTGGTATCCATATTCTAGCAAATCCCACAATTATGGAAGTAGAGAGG